CTAGGAAGAAAACTGAAACAAAACAGCAGTAAGGGAGAGCGACTGGAGGGGGCACTTGAGTTCGGGTGGTCAGAGGAGGCCTCTTTGAAGTGAGAACATAAAAGCGGAGGCCTGATTATGAAAAAGGACCAGCCATGCAAGGATCTATCTAGAGGGAAGTACATTCCTGGCAGAGGGAAGAGCAAAGACATCCTTAGGTAGCAATGGGCTCCATGCATTCAAGATACAGAAAGATGACCAGTATAGCTTAAGAGAAATGAACAAGGAGGTGAAAGGAAGGAGAGAAAACCAGAGAGTTGGCCCGGGCCACATCATAAGCCCTTGTAACCATATGTACAAGCTAGCTGCTGTGTGGAGAAGGGACTGCAGGGGGCAAAAGTGGCAATATGGAGGGCCAGCCCCAGTGGCCTAGTGGTTAAGTTTGGCATGCTCTGCTTTGGTGGCTGGGTTCAGTTCCTGGGCGTGGACCTACACCACTCATCTGTTAGTGGCCATGCTATGATGGCGGCTTACATACAAAGAAAGAGGAAAATTGGCAGCAGATGTTAGCTCAGCGTGAATCTTCCTCAGCAAAGACAAAAAACAAATGGCAATATGAAGACCAGTGAGAAGGTTGTTAGGTGAGAAAATGAGTGACCATATATTTTGTCATTCAAACCAGGATACCTGTGCAAGTGAACAGGGGTGCTACAAACAATTAATCAGGGACAACAGGCATAACCAGGACTTGCCATTGACAAAGCTCTAGCTGCAGTCAACATGTTCCAGCCAGGACTGTAACAGGAAGTTCAGCAGTTTTTAGCAGTTCTGCTCTGACACAGAGCTCCCAGCTCCAGAGAAGGAATCACTTTTCTATTGGGTCTCAGGCTCCTGGCCTGATGCCCCATGCCTGAGCATTTGGTTTTCATCTAGAGGCTCTGGGCTACAGTTGCAGCACATACAGGGAGCAGCAAGCTCCTTTCTCTGTGCTGTCTGGGGCCCACTCTCAGCGACAACTGACAGTACACAGATGAAAGAACAAACAGGGAGTATACGGTCACCCCTCCTTGCAGAAGTGGTATTGAGAGAGTAGAAGTCAGAGAGAGATGGATATGCTCTAAGTTCCAGAGCAGGGATTCTTCACTTGGACCTTAGGGGGGTCTGTGAGGCAGGTGAGAGGGCCCCAAGCTTCCCTCACACTCAAACCTATGACTCCAAAAGAGATAAAGAACCTTTGCTTTGGAGACAGTGCTTCTTACACTTCAATGTGCATCAGAATAACCTGGAGAGCTTATTACAATAGGGATTGCTGGGCTCCAGCAGGCTCTGATTCAGTTCAGTCTGGAGTGAAGCCCAAGAATTTGCATTTCTATCAATTTCCAAGGGGATGCTAATGCTCTTCATCCAGGGGCTACACTTTGAGAATCACTGCTTTAGCGGATACAAAGGGTTCCAGTTCAAATTATGATCTTCCCTTTTCAGATAAGAGTTCTAACAGATGCCACAGCCCTCTAAACTACCCCTAAGTCCCAAAGAATTTCATATTTTATTTTTGGAAGAAGCCCCTGGAGAGTGACAGAATCTGGACCTCCCCTAAGAGGTCAGGAAGCATCTGGGAAATAGCATTTTAGAGGACGCAGGAAAGTGCCTTCAGAAATGTAAAAGCCCATGCAAAACTCTGAGCTGGAAACTACAAGGCTGGCCCTAGCTGATCCAATTACTGGGCCAATTATTGGAATAGTGAGGTTTTGGGAATCTGGGCAGACCCAGAACCTCTCCTAGAGACTGCCTCCTGATCCTTTTTGAGCCTATAACTGAAGTTAAATGGGCCCAGATAGGAGGTCTGCTATAAGAAAGATAGGGTGTCTGCTGGGGGGTATAATCTGGAAAAAAGAAAGAAATTGACAACTCCACTAGACAGAATTCAAGAGCTTCATTCACAGAGCCCTTTGATCAGGTCATTGTGGTGAGGGCGGGAAGAGGCAGGAATAGTACTCAGGGCTGTGCTTACTTTAAACAACAGCAGTGGAGAGAGGCCTGGAAGGGCCGTTTGCCAGCTTTCCTCAGACCTGCTCTGAGTAAGTCATTCCCCCATGAAAGGGTAGGGAGAAATGAAAATGTGGATTCATTCATGAATCAACCTTCAGAACAGGAAGTGTGGCTTCTGAGCTATACAGAGAAATCCTCCTTCACTACAGGGAACATTGACTTTGCCATCCAGCTAAATACATCCCGAGGTGAGGCAATGTCAAAGTCAGGGAGATCCTATAAGTCAGGGGAAGAGGAGGCAGAACATCACGGGGAAGGCAATACACTAGAGTGACTGAGACCAAGTGTGTGCTTTGGCATCAGCCTGACACAACTCGTGACTTGAATTCTGACTCTGTAACCCAGGGCTTGTTACTTAATCTCTCTGTGCTTTAGTTTCCTCTTCTGTAAAATGGGGGTAATAGTAGTGCCTATCTCATAGAGTTGTAGTAAGAATTAAATGAAATAACCTTGATAAAACACTTAGCTTGGTGCCTTGCATATTTTAGGCACTCAACATTAGTTTAAAAAAATAAAAAGTGGTGGGCTTAGGAAAATTTAGGAGGGTGGCAGTACAGACCCACCGTTCGTATCACTGCCAGAGACAGAAAGAGAAAGCGGAGCTAGGTTGGAGCTGCTGCCGATCGCCCCAGGAGGCTGACGGAGAAACTCCTGCTCCCCGAGGAAGGTCTGAGGTGTGAGCTGGTCATGCAGGGCGAGTCAGGATTCCTAGGATGGTGGGGTTAATTGGACAACCCTGCTGGCTATAAGGTGGGGGTATCCTGCTCTTTTAAACATTGCAACATTCAGTGAGTCTGTTTTGTGACATTTTCTCATTGCCAATCTGAGTGCCAAATGGCCTGATTTGGACAAATCAAAATGAATGAAGATCAATGTTGGTAGGAAAATGGGAATGACATTATTGGAAACATTCCGGAGATTTGCAGTATTAAGGTAGAATCCCCATTTTCAGGGAAAAAGAAAAAGTGCCTCCTCCTCAAGTTCCAGAAGTGTGGGGGATGGTGCTGAAATGAAAGCAGTGGTGGTGTGCTGGCCCTGAGAGGTGAGCAAGCAGTCAAATACTGAAAAAAAGGCTCTCTCTTTCCTCTGATCCTGAATGAACAGAACCTCTTCCAAAACTCAGTATCGCAAGTCAAAAAGTCCTGTCTGCTTAGAAAGAAATTGTTAGTGGAAGTGGGAACAAAGAGATTTCTAAAAACCATGCAAAAGAGCCAAAGTAAATGACATACCACATGGTTAAATAAAAGTTAACATCCATTGGAGGTGGGGGTGGGAAGAGATTGCCAATTATATCACTTTAGAAAAGAAAAAGCTAAATACAAATGACACACAGTTCTGTTGAACATGCTGGGCCCCTTTCTTGAGAGGTGTCCGTGGCCCTACAAGCCCTGCCCTCTAGTTCAGACCTATCCCAAGTCTAGGATGTTCCCCCTGTAGCCCTGCAGTAGAACTTCACCTCTTGCTCTCCAAAATGACCACAGGGCATATTTAATCATTGTCCCATTTGGAGTCTTTAAAAGATTAAGGCCACAGGGACAGTTGGGAAGGGGCCTGGCTTCTGGCTTTTCACTCCCTTAAACCCACCCAAAATCATAGCTAGAGTTTCCATCACAAGCTCCTGTTCCAGAGAGCCCTCTTTTTGGAGAGGGACTCAGGGGTTCGTCTGATCCCACCTTGAGGAGAGGGGAAAGAGGAGAATCTGGTCTCCTCTTCAGGAAGTAACCATCTGTCCTCTCTGTGGCCTGCAAAATCAGAGGCACTGCAGACCTCAGGGAAAACCAGAGTTTCTTAGCACCCCGCCAACCTCCCCAAAATGGTGGCACTCTCAGCTTTAAGTTTTCATACAGCAAAGTTTATGCTTTATTTTTACTGGAGTTGGTGGTTGTCAGATGCGGAAGCTAGTCGAACAGGTAGCTGCAATACAACAGCTAATCTGCTGTTCTCTACAAAGGAAGGCCATTTTAGCAAGAAAAAAATATAGAACAATAACAACAACAACAAAACTTTTTTGGGATTCACCCAGGGAAGCTTGGAACTGTGATACTGTTAACTTATGATATTTCTATGTCCATGCATCAGTTTTTAGAATATAATCACTGTCATACACATTTAAATAATACTGAAAATTTTTCCATAGTGTGATTTTTGCAGGAATCTCGTTCCTGCAACTACTTGTTCCAAGCCTTCTCATAATCCAGCCTAAAGGTAAGTGAAAGCATCACAAAGATAAAATGAGGAGAAAGCCACAAATAAAACTTCCAACTCCACTTCTAAAAGTTGAGGAAAATACCATACACCTAAGGCCTCTGCCGGTTTTTGAGTTAGAGACCAAAACTGGGATGGTTCTTTTTGGTCAGATAATCTAATCTTTTATGAGAGGGTCTTATTAACACTATTCTGAAGGCTCACTCCTGTGCCACATTTTAATTGGTAACTGCATTCACTGTCTACCACTCCATTCACTAGAAAAGCACTTTTGAAAGGATCTTATTTTCAAGCACAACCTCTATTTTCTGCAGAGGATTCTCTTTATCTTTTGTCATGTACTCTTTTGTAACCCTTCCATTACCCCAAACCAACTTCAAATTTAAAATGACAGAAAGCAAAAGAACCTTCGATGGGAAACAGGCATGATCTACGGGAAAAGTTTCTCTTCCTCTTCAATTGTGATGGCTAGGTTAACCGTCATACCATCAGAGAATTTTTAACACTGACTCAAGAAGCAAGATAGGGAAGCCATTCACATAAAATCTTTAAAAATAAACAAATTGTTTTAAAATAAAATAGAAAATAGAGTTTTCCAGTGTGAAAGAGCACACTGAATACTTGCAGGCAATTAATGAACAGGCAAATATACCTGCTTCTGAGTCCTAAAAATGGTTTCCATCTATAAAAAAAAAAAATCCAAGAGCAACCAGATCCGCCCCCCACAACCAAAGGCATTGAAACAAAAGACTGATCTGTTTATATAGTCACATGAAAAATAAACATCTTTATTTTTTTGCCTACTTTATTTCATTTTTTTCAAATAAAATTTAAATCTGTACAAAGTATACTGTTACAGTATATATTTTGTAAGAATCAATGCCTAAAAGAATCACAATACTTCAATAAGCAGTACAGCAGACCTCGCTAGTTTCAGCTTTGATATTGAACAAACTCAAGCCGGCTGATGCACAACACATTTGCTTGGTTTCCACATGGTGAGTTCCCAGCACTGAGATGGGAGAACATGACAGCAAGTATGGTTATATTACAGCCCGACACACTGCGCTTCTTCATGTGATAATAACTGCACAGATTTAATACAGAATGCTCAAATTTACTTTTTAAATTGCATTTGCTTACTTCTTAGTTGGCAAAATTCAGCACTCTTAATGGGGTCCCCAAACAGTGCAAATTAATGATATTCTACTGTATAATTGGCACATCTCCAATAAGGATTAACTTGTAAACTCAAAGAATATCACAACTTTGTCCTAAATTTTAACTAATATCCATCTGGTCCATTTAACCAAAGTTATTTTGGAAAGATATTAAAGAACAATTCTATTTCTGAAAGGATATTGTTTTGACCATTCTTTAGAGAAGATAAATTTTTAAATTGTCATTAAAATGTTTTACTATAAAAATTTTACAAACAATTAGAAATTTCAAGATTATGATTCACAGCAGACAAATACAAACTGTTTATATTCCAACAATACCTACTCTTAGACTTTCAAACAGAGCACAACCATGTCAGCTGTGTTAACTAAAATTCTGAACAGTGTACTAAATTTATAAGTGGTGCTGGGTCTAGCAAGTGTAAATACACAGTATATTTTAATGAAAAGAATTGTCTTCTTTATACTTTATTTGTTTTCCCATAAGGAAACATTAATGTTTACATTCTTTAATAAAGTTAATCTTACATCAGAATATAACTTAATACTGTCAGCAACAGGGACCACACACAGTAAATAAGAAGCACATTTAAAATAAGTCTGAATTCACATAGATTAACATTTGTTGGTTAATAAAATATCGACAGTATTACAATCTTACAATATTTACAGTAAGAAAAATCTAGAGTAATATATACCTTTCACAGCAGGATTCCTTTTTTTTAAATTATTATTTCTTCCAGTTTGGGATTGTGTATACACAAAAAGCTCAAATAAAGCAACTCTGCAATATAATCTTAAAATAATGGCTACTGAGGGAAATTCTATCACAACCATTGAAAATAATGGTGACTTTTCACGGAGTCTGTGGCATCTGAGAACCCAGTTAATTAACCAAAGTCTTGCTCAAACCAGCCTCAGTTACCCAGATTAAAGCTGCAGAACTCCGGCCTTCCCTGACTGCTGAAAACCCAACAGATTTTCTCAACATGCTATAAGAAAAGAGGGAAAATAGGTTTCAGCTCACACCTCATGGCTGGAAGCCTCTGGCCAGTGCACATTCCCCAACTTATGCTAAAAGAGGGCCAATTTCATCCCCAAAGCATCACAAGAGTTTACTCTCCAACTATACAGCACTTTGACATAGAATTCACTCATTCACCAACTCTTGTACATTAGGACAAGGCATGAATTTGGCCCATATAATACACACCAGCATCTTAGAGACTTGGGACCAGGGCAAAGAAACAGACTAGTGCAGTTTGCACTGAGATCAACAGGGAAAATGGGAAGCGATGCACATTTCCAATTAGAATGGCAAGAAGAAGACCCACATCCCTAAAGTGGAATTTGGCCAGGGCATCAGAGTTAGCACCCCCTCTCTGAGTACCACAAGCGATTAGGATGTGTGCTCTTGGGCCTCCTCCAAGAGAGAGCATCTACAGTAAGTAACACCATGTGGGACATTAGTTCAGTGATGACTCCCAAGAAAGCAGATACAACTTGAATCTGGGGCTGTCCACAGCACCTGAGGTCACTCATCTGAGCTGTGACCTGTCCCAACCCTGCTTACTTTAAGAGATCTGATGGGCACAGAGCACTCAGGCATACAGCTGCTGGCTACTTTGGACTCTAGATCTCACAGGTAATCAACAGGTATCTGGGATTGAATTAGCAAACTGTACCATAGCTCCTTAAACAGACACTGTCAGGTGTGAAATCATGTGAAGCATGAATCTTCACTGTCAGGTCAGAAATCAAAGTGGGAGTCTTCCCACATCAGCCAAGGTTATTAGGTTAAAACCTTAAAGGAGTTGAACAGTTTTTCATGTTGGAAGTGATTAGTTTACTTATTTCAGTCAAGCTGGATTGGCAAATCAGAATGATCTATTTAGTTAGCTTTGTTTTTTTGATTCCTATATATGTGTTAACCCAAAGCTGTTGTATTTGGGCTAAATACACTGACAGAGAAAATTCAAACAACAAAAGTTTTCAGCAAACTTCTGTGGCATTTTCTTTTTGGAAGTCACTGCAAGATCTAAAGGTATTTCTACCTAACAAAGTCTGTTTAAGTGTTTAATGTTATTTCCTTTTTGGTCCTATACAGAATGCTATGACTTCTATATAGGTCTGAATGCTGCTCCATGTAGATTCCTTCTGTATATCTAAAAATATATACTTTTCAGTAGTTCAATACATGGTTAATCTTCCCACAGAGGAAGATTTTTGTAATCACATGTTGCAAAGTAGAAAAACATCTCCTTTCTAAGAAAGGAAATATACTTTCCTATTGTACACTTTTGAATAAGCCCAAAGGCATGCACTAAAAATCATTATTAAAACTAATACATGCACTAAAATGGTGTAGAGTTAGACTTAAAGTGCTGCTTCTCAATTTTTAAATTTGGAGAAGACATTTTGTCAGTTGTTGACTCAGGGATCCCCCCACCCCACCCACCCCACTCCATGGCATCAAGAAAGAAAAGTAAAAAGTATGCATAAATCTGTAAACTATGCTTTACATGGGGGAAAGGACAGATATATCAACTGGATTCCCAGTTTTAAATAAAACCAATATTTACTGGTAAAAATTGTCAAAGCTAATACATCCAAACAAATGTTACTAGTAAATAATGTTCTACATAGAGAATAATTTACTTTGGTTTTATGTACCTTCTCAAAAATAATACTGGTGTCCCATACATCACCAAACTGATGTGTTCCAGCAAAGGTGTAAGGCAAATTTTTTTGTTTTCCTAGTGACATCTTGTTTCCCAATAGACAAGACTAAAATCTTTTGGTGAGGAAGGGGTTAAGATAATGGCTAACCCCTTGGCATCCTGAGCATTGTGGTTTATCAAATTCTACCCTGCTAGAAGCTGTCAGGTACCCTGACTCCTGCCTTGAACCAGGAATGGCTCCCATGTCTAGAGATGCCCTGACTCCTTATAAATAGCTCTCAGAACTTTGCTTCTTTTTCCTTTTGTCTGGATGTTATAATGTCTAACAAAGCTGGTTGCAATGTCATATTTTGCTAGTAGGGGCCACCATCTAACAATAATTCCAATCTGAAATGTTTTATGCCAATAGTTAGTTCCTAATTTTATCAAGGAATTGCATTAAAGTTTTCTCTATAGGGTTTGTTTAGAGCAGAGATCCTTAACTTGGGTTTCAGAAGATGCATGATGCCCCTGAGGTTGTATGTAAAATTATCTGTGTATGTGCATTTTTTTTCTGGGGAGAGGGTCCATCACTTTCATCAGATTATCAAAGGTATCTGTGACCCCAAAAGGGGTTACAGGGACTTAGAAGGATACCCGTAATTTATTTTATAGCAGGATTGGAAAATGGGGGCAGAAAACTAAAAATGGCCTTGAAAAAAAAGGGCCAAATTGCTGATCTTTTCCCTTTATTCACATTTGGGAAATAAGTGCTTCAGACTAGGAAAAATAATTAATTAAGCTGATTAAACTCCATTAAAAAATAATCAAAGCCACTTTCTAAAATTTTTTCATTTTCCATATATGGTAAACTTAGTCTCCAAGAAAAGGTTTAGAGACTGAATTTTTCTCTTTTCCCAAAGGAAATTCATAGATATAATTCTGATCATTATCCACATTTAAAGATTTGACAACATAAAACTTAAGACAACTCTAATGATGTAAGCCTTTATGATTTTGAGTAAAGGATTATCTAGAGTCAGATACAAATCTGTCAACCTTCATTTCCCAAAATTGGTCCATATTTAGACAACTACCGGGCACAATTCCACTAGATAAACCCAAAACCCGAACAACGAAAGTTTAACTTTCTACCCAAATTAAAAACAAAGCCAAAATGTTCCACAATAGAGTCTGGCCACAAACATTCACGCCGTGTCATAGAAGACTTTCTCATTTCAAACACATCACTGAATTTTAAACAGAATATGCAAACATAAGAGCCAAAATGACTAGCAAAACATGCTGAGAAGAACATGTCAAGAATTAAAACACCACCTCCCCATCTAGAAACACACTCAGGCATTCCAAAAATAAACTAGACCTGAAGAGAGGCCTCTCACTTGTTGGTTTTAAGTATGAAGCGCCTAAAAGGCTATGGGAAAGGGAATATAAAATGAAATAATTAAAAAACTTACAAAAAATAATTTTAGCCAAAACACATCTCTGTTCTATTGACAAAACTGTCAACCTTTATTTTCTTTTTTTTTTTTTTTTTTGCGGTTCTGAACACTAACTGTGTTGTACAATCTCACTAAGATAAAAAATATGTTCACAGGTACACTTTTTGTTCTCCTATTCTTTCTAGAGTACATCTTGAGGTTGTAAGAATGCCTCTAGTTAAAATAAAGTCTCTTATCCCTTGCCACCCTCCCCACCTCAAAAAGTGAGTCAACCTTAAATTCCAAAAAGGAATATCATTTAATATAATTATTCCAATACTAGTTATATCACATAGACCATGAGGAAACTCTATGAGCACTATGCACTATGGAAAACTACATGAAAGAGGGAGCTGCCACTTGCCACCCACTTCTCTTCCAGCTTTTTAAGCCAATACCCAGCTAGACTCAAATCTCATTGACTTCAGTGAAAACAAATCAACAGTCCAAAACCAGGCCATGTCAGGCTGGAAGTTGGATCTCAAAGACATCATTATATATATATATAGTGTGTGTGTGTGTGTGTGTGCGTGTGTGTGTGTGTGTGTGTGTATTTTTTCTTATCCTAAGCTTTCACTTCATCTATTCAAATAGTTTAATAAAGCTCACATTTACAAAGGATTTTCTTGGCAAATAAAGGCCCATATTAAACATTTTATCAAAACAAACTTTTGTCCTACATAGCTAACACTAAGAAATATTTTCTCGGACTTATAAAGCATATTTAATTGCATATAAGTTTTGCTTTGGGTGGGATATTGAAAACACAATTCTGTAAGAAATTAGAAAAGACTAGAAACAAAAGTGAAAGTGACTAGTCTTAACTTTCAAAAAATCAAGTGCAAAGATAAATAGTGCAAATAATGAAAACTGGAAAATTTTATAGGCAATTTTACATAGTCTTTCCTGCTTTTGCACTTTACATATTGACAACGTTATAAACCCTAACAACTGTATGCAGCATGGAAATGGGCTATCATTTATCTCCATTGACTAGACTCAAGGAAGTCTTTCAAAGACTTGTCTCACAGTCATTTAAATCACTGGTTCTTGACACAGGTTTGGGAATTCACTTCTTTTAAAACAGTTCCTAAGGGGAGGAGGGGCTCTTTAAGAAGGTTCTGCACTGACATAAACAAGTTATAGTACAGCAACTGTATTATCATTTAAAATCAGATACACAATAAAATGTGAAAATCATACTAAGTGCCAACTCTACAAAATGTTATAATAAAAATAATTCTGCTATTGTTAATGAACTCGACATTTGTTTAAAAAAATTACCTTCAAATACAAAATCAGAACCTCTTTTTAAACTATCTTTAAGGAGATTTTATCACTAATGTATACAGATTTGGGTAGAATGACACATGATAGTAATCTGTCAAAGTCACTGAGAATACGTCCATACTAAACCAGAAAACAGAGTAAATCCAAATATACTTGAATTATGTAGCTTTAAACAGAAATATTATAGCAATTCTTTATCTTAAATAATTTAAAATACTCCTGGGATACTGGAAACAGAAATCTGAACACCATCAGTTCACCCTACAAAGGACATAAGAACTTCCAAGATGTACCAAATTATATTATTAACATCTGCCACCAGTGAATTTTGGGAATTCCATAATTTTAAGAGAACAGAGAAAGCGGGGAAAACAAACAGAAATTTAAGTTTGGGGAGGTATGTTGTCTAATTTCAGAAATATAGTAGTATTGAGGGTATCATAAGGTCCACAATGATAAATGGTTGCTACGATTGTAAATGTAAAAGAAATAGAAAAGATACCTAAATTGCAATGTAGTGTTTTCACTTGGTTTATAATCCTCTTCTAAGAAATTCATGTGGACCAAAGGCTCAAGGTTCTGTAAAAGCGAGGCATAATATGGATCTTTGCGGACTGCAAAATCAAATTATTTGATCTAAGGACGATTTTGAAAAGTAAAGGGAAACTACACGGTAACACATGCCCAGGAGAATAGACAGTCTGTATGATAAATATGTCTGATAGTTTAAAAATGATAACTGTGAAAGAGTTTAAAGCGTTCTCTTTTTTCCTTCAAAGTAGTAAGTCCCCAGCACCAACTTGCCTTGACCAGAAAAGTTGCCATTCCATAATTGTGCTACTTAATTTGTCCAGAAAAGCAAACACCCTACATCTGAAAACAGATTTGTATAATGGATCATTATTATAACATCTAGCTACAGACCAACAGCTTTCTCATAACCAAGAAGGGACCCATTTTCTCTGGCTTTACTGAAACTTCCTCAGTGAAGATAAACGTCATTGTCTTCAGCAAACAACTCTCATTTAAGATTCCACCTTAGCATCTTTCCCTACCTCCAATAAAAACTTCTCCAACTTTACCTCCAAATCATTCCCTTATTTACCTCCCACACTCCCATTCACAAACACATTAAACAGCTCTCCCCTTTCTGCTCTCAAATTTCCAAACTAGTAAGTCTCAGTCCATAGTAACCTACCTAAAGTACACATACTTCTTACTCTCTTCAATTCACAAATTTCTTAACAAAAAATGTCGATGCCCTTCAAACTGCCAACTTCACTACAGGGAAAACGGCAGTCAGAAAAAACTGCCCAATTACCTTATACTACAGAAATCTTTCTGGGATCAGTTAGCCATGTTCTAAGGCAGGAGTCAGCAATTTCTTCACTTTCCTCTTAAGGGGGTTAATTTTGAGTGCCACTGGCAGGCCTATGGCAAGGAGAAGAAGAAAGAAGGAGAGAGAAACAAGGGAAAAGGAGGATGGGAGAAAGAAATGCCAGATGTACACGGTAGGGAGGTAGGTCAAATGCCACCAACAGCTACCTGCACTGGAAATTGCCAATCCACTCTAGCTGAATGGGAATCTGACCCAATCCCAACATGAGGCTAATAATTCATTAGCTGATGGCCATCACTGTTTGAGCCTACTCAAGGTGAATACAAAAAGACATCTGTCCCATAGGTTTGACTGCCACTTCACAATAAGGACATCTTTTCTCAAGTCCTCCTAGGATCCTTCTGTGTTAATCTAGCTTAGACCAAAAGACATGCTAAAAAGAGTATTTACATGTTTCTCAAAATTCTAGAATATAAAGGTTTGGTCCTTGAACTTGGAGGCCTCTTGAACTATTAAAGTACACCCTAAATCAAGAAAATTAAACCCTTCAGTTTAAATTTTTCCCATGAAACGCTACAAAAATAATTACTAATAATCATCAAAATAAAGTATGTATTCATGAAAATGAAAAAGCGTGCGATTCCAAAATGAGTAAAATATTCCTGGTCTGTAAGAAGTAACTTTATTTTACACAGAGGATCACCACCACGTTTCTACCTATCAAACAAGACAATTTTCCACAAAAGCAAAGCACATCAGGAAAAATAAAAAAAAGAAAGAAAATAAATACCAAACGTAATATGGGGACAAAATAAAAATAAATGAACACCTATAAAATTCTTTTTTAAGAAAAATGTTTCTAACAAGTGACCTTTGCCATACTCAACTTTCCTAAAGACATAAATTGCCTAGACCATTCAACATCAAAACTCAGTAGCCAGTTTAGCAGCTGAAAGACGACAACTGTTGGCTTGAAACCAATCATATCTTTCAGTTTTCACCTGGTTGTTCTTGCATCATGAAATTCTACCTGACTCATGCTAATAGTTTAAATGATCTTCACTTAGCCCATAATAATGAAATTTCTGTTCAAAAAGAGCGTATTAAAATGGCCTAGGCCTTAAATTTATGTTTTGTTTTAGGATCAAATAACTCCTCAAATATTAAAATCAGCTGTTCTTAAAAATATATTGAAAATTCTCTATAGTAATCAATGCTGCTAGGTGAAAATAGTAATAGCAGTGATCACTTCAGTTTTATACTGTACTTCATATAAATTCAGTTAGCTTGCAATGAAAAAAACCAGAAATATAATAATGTATGATTTAAAAAGATAAACTTTAACAGACGACTTTGCACAAATAACTTCAGAGAATTTATTCACTTAAGTAATTCTGATAAATTTTCTTTCCTATTCATTCCACTCTCATGGGGAAGTATATATCTTCCAAATTATTAAGATATTCAAATTTAGGGATAGTCAACTATAAATGTTATACTCAGAGTTATCACCAGTTGTTCCAAACTTAAGTTGCTAAAGATTCCTTTATTTTAGCATCTTTTTACATAGAAAGCAGAATCTCATTCTGATATTGAAAAGACTCTGAATAGGGAAAAAAGTCATTAGATTTGGTATCTCACATTTTATGGGGGGAAAATCTTAAAAGTATGTTCACATGTAAAACAAAATGAATTGTGGAGCTATGAAAGCCACCAGAGCAACAGTTTCAGAAATCCCCATTCTAAAATCATCTGGAAATGTGTGTGTGTGTGTGTGTGTGTGTGTGTGTGTGTGTGTGTGTGTATCAGTAACACGAAAAAATGAGTGGGAATATTGAGGCAGAGAGGGTGAACCATGTGTGAGAGAGAAAAATAATCATGCCCATGGTGGGGTCACCATGGCTGGCAGATAACCCAAAATGTCATAAAAGAAAAATGTATTAGTTTAGAAAGTTTTAACAGTGCCAAATACAAAATATTAAAGCACAGAAATAATGAATGAGATAACCCCCACAAACATCAAATTCCATAAGAAAACAGGAAGAAAAAATTTGACATATGCGTCTTTTTTAATATACCAAATCTTAACTGACTTAAAGATTATGTAAAGTGCTTGGGCCATGGTACCCACCCAGATTATTATCAACATACTTATCTTTTCCCCTCCCTTCCACCCAAATTTAGTTCACTTTTCCTGCAGAAAATGTACAGCATTCCTATATTAATAAGAAATGAAAACAGTGAGTACAACTGATATATATCCATTGACTTTTATTACAAATGTACTTGATCACTTGGCTTCAAAAAGTTTAAAATCAATACCCTATTTTCTGTATGCCAGTACAAAGCAAACTGTTTTACAAATTAAATACCTAAAAATTTGACAAAAATATTAAAATTTGATGAAAAACAATTATAAAAATCCTTAATCTCTCTCTCTTCAAAAAAGGAGGCAGTCTTCCCAGTCCTATTATACAATATTAATAATATTCACCATTTTTAGAATAGGTAGCTAAATTATATTTTTCTGTTAGCATACAAAACTCTTAGACTAATAGATTTTATTTGTATATGCTCCAGTTAAGTTTGTAAATGCCATCTGATTGCAATATAATCAACTATCTTTAATTGAGTCCTAATTTACACTTAATAATTTGCATAGTTTAAAAGGGATAAAGGTTATTCTACAACTAATTATCATAGGCTATTACAGTGCTATTTTTCAAGGCAATAAGTATTTGCTCCCAAATGAAATTATCTGTCTTCTTTAGGCAGGGGTTAAAATTACTAGCAGCTTTCTCCATGACCTGAAAAATCAAATTGGGAGTTATCCATCTCTAGATATGAAGACCTAAAAACACATTCATATATTTTCCACTTTGAGTCAAATTTCAACCCCTGCATAGGACAACTAGAAAGTGAGACTTTCAAGGTTTTTTTATTTCCTGTTGGTTTTGGTTTGTACTCTCCATGGCTTTTGAGAAGCTGGAAAAGTTTGTCTTTCCTGACTCGCATTGTCTTTTTTTTCCATTTGGCAAATATTCATCTACCTCCAATCTTTATCTACTGGAGGAAAAGCCAACATGGCTTTTCTTATGGACTTCCTTTGTTGTCAAAGGCATGTATAATGATTTCTACAGTTCTGGTTAGTTAACTTTAGCTCCCTCTGTGGCTGGATGACTGCTGCTTCTAACATCAGCATGATAAATAGGAGGCACAAATAAAAAGTAGCTTAAAAAAAGATTTGGTGATTTAAAAGAAAAAAACGAACAACACCAAACACACACACATATATGGGCATTTCAAATCTGGTGGCTGATCTCTGGATTAAATTACTTGACAGTGTCTCTCATTTTAAAGAACGTCAATATTGCAATGCATTTCAAGTTTTCTTTTATACTTAGGCAATTAACGTAGTTTAACCAAGCTCTTGGACCTTAACTGTAAGACAAAGCAGATCATTAAAATAAGGCATACTTGTCAGGAATTGGGTTTTGTTTGCTTGTTTTTGGCACATTTGATCATACTGTCTTCTATGAATAACACATATGGTCAAATATACCATTTCCTTTTTTGTTTCAGCACAAACAGGGTCTACTAACTAGCAAAATAAAAACAAGGAAAAACTCCAACATAAAACACTGAGATACAGAACCTTGGTAAAGTACCGAGCACCTGGGGGGAAAGGCGGGGAAAGGATGAAACAGGAGAGGGAAGGGAAAGTTGGGAGGGCGCTTGGGGAGGTAAAGTGAGATGCAAAAATGAGCATCTTTACAGTCGCTTAGTCTTTTCTACGATCACCTCTTAAGTCTTAAAAGATTTGCATGTGGATTTCTTTTCAAACCCACTGACCATAAATTAGACACTGGTTTCAAAATCTTAGTAAGATTGTGTTTAACTGTTATAGTGTAAAGACAATTGCACAATGCATGTGCTTCTTGATCCGGTAGGATTCCAAGCAGAATCTGAAGTCTATAGATAAGAAAGGCTTCACTTTAGGTAACTGACCCTAAAGAAAACCTCATGAAAGAACTCGCATCTCAAAGAAAGGACACTTTGCCTAAGTTTGCTGTGTTTTTGTTGACTTGCACTACTTATTGCTGGCTACTACGAAACACTGATCTAGGAGTACTCCAACAACCTGTAGTACAAGGCTTAACTTTAAGAAGCTATAGTAAACAAGAGACAAAATCAAAGCAATTCTCTTTCCTAACTAGTAACAGCACAGATAATGCAGTCTTTTCCATATCACAGTTAAAGTACAGTGAACGAAACAGCTCAACAAACCTTAAGACAAAAAAGTGCAGGTTATTAATGTTTACATGCAGTTGATAAGCATTCCAAATGTCACATTATGCACTGTAAGAGCTCAACTTTACTATATGGAAATAAGAAAAATGCACCTTGGGGGACGGGGGAAAAGCAATTTAATCATTTCCAGTGATTTTGTAAGTAAAGAAACTCCTAACTATTGTACGGTCACCTCATATTTAACATTGTATGAATATTAAAAGCAAACAATTTAATGGGAAAATGCACAGTACAATGGAAATAGCTTGTTATTCAACACGTACAGTAGATCTCAAAAACAAAGACAACACACTCAACCAGGGAGCTTAAAAATATCAAATCAAAACCCAAAGAACCAGCAGAAAAAAAAAATCCTTCAAAAAGACAACTGTTTACCTTCCTAGGCCAATGCTTTACAATGTGAGAAGCACTGATACCTTCCAGCTCCTACAGGTGGTGTCTTCTACATACAGCAGTTAGATCTATATGGCTGGATTTGCCAAGAAACAATTCCATCCCCAGAACTCTATGTCAGACAAGACCTTTTTTTTTTAACCAAAATACTTTCTACAGAATTCCAAACCAAAATGTACTGTTTAAGGCATCTTTTTTTATAACATTTTCTCTTCACTCAAAGATGATAGTCATGCAGCAGTTTAATGATAAAAATATATTAATATTTTACTATACAGCAGCAAAAAGTTAGTTGTCAATTAAAAGCACACGAACATCTTTAAATGAAAACCTGTGAAAGACTATCGTTACAAACAATTTCAGTTTGGAGGACACCAGCTTGGTAAAGTGCTCTCCTAAGCTTTGCATTTTCATACCCTACACCTTGAATATATGAGTTATAGAACATACTTTTGATAGAAGGCTTGTACACTTGGGGAACACAAATACACTTAGCATATAATGTAGCCAGTAATAACTAGCACCACAGCTACATGGAAATCCTTTACATACACCAACTTGGCTTTCACTTTTAAAATGAAACTCAGAATCCATGGCTCAGTAGGATAACTATAATTGTGTTGCTCTGCTTTTTAACAGGTCTACATAAGTTAATAGCACTGGCAAAAATCAAAGGATAGCTTCAGATCTCTTACAAGTTTAGGAGACAGTGCTAGTGACCACAAATAGACTCACTACCTGATGTCCAAGTACAGGTTCACTGGAAATTGCTGCACGTTAGTTTTTAAAATCTTTCTACACATAATAAAAAAAATATATTATGAACAATACAAGTACATCTCATATACACAATAATGACAAAACACCTACTCAGTCAAAGCAAACAGATGCAGAAAAATATTATGGGAGATTTCCTTTTTCTTTCTTTCTCTTTTTCCTTTCACTATTTGGAATAACTTTGGTTCCAACCATAAAAATCACAACTTAGCAAATTTCATTTAAATGCCTTTTTTAATAATTTCATGTTCACAGAAGTTTCACTGACCATTTTTATATGTTTAAGGTCCAGATGCAATGCATATTGTATAAAAGAGAGCACTTATTGTTTACCTTGCATGAATTAAACCTACGTACCTTTAACTCTACAAACTTCTGCATAACATTTAGACAAAGCTCAGACACACAGCATGCCTAGCCCTCATATATATACACATCTCTAATCACAGGTATATAGGGTGTCAAATATACTATAATAACCTCCATGTAAGGTTTGAAATTTGGTAACAAAATGAGAAAAACTAAAAATATTATTTTACGTGTTCTAAAATATCTCTTTTTTGTGCTAAAGTCAAATGTTAGCTCAACATGAAAAGGACTTTTATATAATTCAGCAATATTATAATCTTGACCATTTTGCAAACACTTTTAATAATAATAGCTTAAACGTGTACAAAAGTTCTTGGTTAATTAGGGAAATAAACACTCAGTTCTTTATATTTTTTAATCAAGTAGGAAACACAGTTCATATAATGTTATTACTTTTTGTATTTTTTTTGTTTTTTGTTTTTAGCAGCTGCTTACTGTTTTATATGGTGGATAAAGTGGACAACATCCAGCGATGGGTGGCAAGTCAAGAAGAGAAACTGTCAGTTGGTGGAGGTTCTGGGTGGTGCTCCCTTGGAGTTAAGTTATTTCTTTTTTTTTTAACTTTTTAACTTTTTATTTTCTCTCTTTCTTTACAGTATATTTTCTGTGTGTGTGGCTGTGTGTATGTGTGTGTGTATGCATGTGTGTGTGGGTTTTTTCCATTCAGTTTGATCAATCTTCTTCCCCCTCTTCCTCACCCTGCAGTAGCAGGGTGGCAGCGGCGGTCTCCTCCTGCTGCTGCTGCTGCTGCTGGTGGAGCTGCTCACAGGCAGCTCGCTTCTCTCTCTGCTTCTCTTGAATCTTCTTCATCTCCTCCGAGTACTTGCAGAAGGTGTGTCCGAACTTGGCCCACACCTTGTAGGGCACGGTGATGGAGTTGCGGTAGGTGGGCTTCACCTCACTAACTCGCATAAACACACCGTACTTGTTAGAGCCCACATCGAAGAAGAAGCGCTTGTTGTCCACAGTCAAGGAGGTGCCCTCGGGCAGCTCGGCCGGCTCCTCCTCCACTCCGTAGTCGTCGATGAGCTTGGCCAGAGCGTCGCGGAACTCGATGAGCCCCTGTGCGGGCAGCGCAATGGTCTGGCCCTGCGTGGAGCCCAGGCCGGGCCCCCGGTTGACCGTCTGGCGGATGCGCAGGAAGCGGCCGCGCTGGTTCTCCTTGAGATCCATGTAGTACTTGCGGTTCTCGCGCACCAGGAACTCGCTCTTGAGCGCCCGGCGCGGCTCGTCCTGCGCCTGGGCCAGGTCGGGCGGCTGGCTGGGGCCCAGCTGCGCGTAGTGCTCGATGAAGTCGCCCAGGTAGTCGCGGAACTCCACGGCTACTGACATGGAGAGAGTGAGGCGGCTCTTGTTGCCGCCCGCGCCCACCTCAGCGATCTTCAGGAAGCGGCCCTTGGCGTTCTGCTTCACGTCCAGGTAGAAGCGCTTGTTCTGGATGTCCACCCGCTTGGAGGCCAGCTCCTGCGTCTCGTGCTGCAGCCCCCCCGGGGCCCCGCCGCCGCCGCCGCCGCCACTGCCGCCGCCGCCCCCGCCGCCACCACCGCCCCCGCCGGAGCCCGAGCCCGAGCCTGGGTGCCCCAGGGAGCCGCCCGAGCCCAGCGCCGCACCACCCTGCTCGCTGCCGCTGTCTCGGTCCGCCATGATGCTGCGCTCCGCCGCCGCGCCGCCGCCGCCTGCCGCTCCGCCCGCCGCCGCCTCAGTCGCCTCAGCCGCCGCTGCTTTCCCTCCCCGGCTCCGCCTGCTGCCGCCGCAACCCCCACAGCCAGTCAGCCACTCTCGCGAGATCTGCGGGAGAGACGAGACAGACGAGACCCGGTAACAGGGCACTGACTCCCCAGTACAGTAGCAGGGCGCCCTACTGTACGCGCCCACCCGCCCGCCGGCACGTGACCCACGCCCCCTCCTCGCTGCCAGCCCCCCGTCCGCCCGCCCGCCAGGCGGCGCCCACCCACCGGCCCTCACCCCACACCCCAGGCTGGAGGGGGGAGCAGGACGCGTCGCGTCGCAGCTGCCGCCGCCACCACTGTGGCTGTCGCTGTTGGCCAGACCCTGGGCAGCCTCGGCCCAGGGAGTTGGGGGACTAGGGGTGAGAAGGGTACTGCCATCCTAAGCACAAGGACCGGGCCTGAGCTCTGCTTTCCAGTGACCCCAAAGAGAGGATTTGGGGGAGGGGCCTGCGCAGCTCAGCTGAGCCCGTTGCAGAGAGGGGACACTGAGTCACGGCCATTCCCTTCCATGCGGGCAACAGCCAGACCCAGATCCAAACCCAGACAGGCCCACCCGCCGCCCGGCTGGGTTGTCCCCTACCGCAGAGCCCTGGCCGCAGAGGAGGGCGAGAAAGAAGAGAGGTGGTGCGGCGGTAACCCTTAGCTGCAGAAGGGGCTGCCGGGGATGAGGACGGGGATGAGGACGGGGCGCCGGCAGCAGTGGCGCGGAGCAGCAGACACCTAGCCTGTCCCTCCCCTTTCGCTCCCCTTGCTCTCGCCGCTCCCCCTCCCCGCGCACAGCAGCGGCTCTGGCCTCAGATGATCCCGCTCCCCCTCCCCCCAACCGCAGCCCCGCACAGTCGGGCGGGCGGGCGCACTCACCGGCGGGGGGGAGCCGAGCAGAGGACGGCAGCCGCACCAGGGCCGGGGTGCCCGCAGTGCCGGTTCCCATTTGCTCTGCCCTTCCCCCCAAGCAACAATCAAAAAGAAACCCCACACTCACCCAAAAACCTTCAACCAGCCCCCTTTGGGACCACGACTGACTGCCTGCCTCCCCCTCCTCCTTCCGAGATTTGGGGAAAGGGGGCACCCTGCTCAGGGCTGAGCCCAGCCTGGGGTGCCGGCCAGCTCTGCGGATGAACCAGGCCCTGCCGAGCCTTCAGCCCCTAGCCCACTCTTCCTCTCTGGAAGGACCCAGAATGGAGGAGAAAACCAAGCAGCCTTTAGGAAATTCACGAGCTAAAAATGTCAGGAATTTCCTGGGAAACGCAGTTCCTTACGGGATTCGGGATTCATTAATGCAGGTTCGCTAGCCCCTTACTCCTCCTCCCAGAAACTCCTAAGTGTCAAGGAGAGCCCCTACCTTTCAAAAAGTAAAACGTTAAATGATCGCTGGTTTTTAGGCAGACGGCTAGGTTACCGACCATTAATTAACCAATGAGTCTTTGGACAGTGACAGCTAAAGGGGGTGTCGTCTCAGAAATAATTGATTTCTCTCTTCCTAGATCTGAGGCATAATCTAGGGCCTATTTTCCTTCTTCCAGATAAATAGCGAATTCTCATACTCCCTCACTGCAGTCGTCCTAGCAGCTGTGGGAAAGCTAAGGCCTATCTCCAGGGGACCCCCTGCCTATGCCCCTACACTCTTCCCATCACCTTCTGCAGGGGGCTCAGAGGATACAGACGTTGTAGCCCTACTTCTGGCTTTCTCAAGCATGGATTGCTGCCTCCATTCTGAGAAGAGTGTGCCTATCCCGTCTGTGGGTTCCATTCCCATTGAACATCCCCTACCCTCTGAAGTAAAGTGACATGCTTCCCTCACTCTTAGCCCCAGAGACAGCTGAGTATATGGTTGTGCAAGCTTCCTGAAAAAAGAGAGGACTAATGATCAAGAAACCCAGCCCAGTCCAAGGCATAAGCCTTGTCAATATCTAAGCCCTCACAGCCCCCTAATATATCCCTTCACCTCCTAGTCAAACCTGCCTGTTAAGTGTTCACAGCTTCCTTTTTTTCTTAGCAAGGGCTCCACTCTACCTAGCTTAGCTACTTCAGCTCTAGGCTGACATTTGCTACTTCCCGCTAAAAAGGAAGAAACAGGGCAAAGCACCCTGGCTACCAAGAGCAAACTGGAGTGGTCCTGGGAACCAGCTCCAGAACCATCCATCTGTTAGTGGTCCCTGAAATGGCTCCCTGAAGGGGAGGCCCACTCTGAGAGAGAGAAATTCAGGCTTTGGGTCCCACAAAGAACTTCCCCTTAGTTTGCGAGCATCCTCTAGTACCGCGTAGAACCCATTCAGTGCTGATTTTTCTGCACTCTTTCCCCTGTCCCCAAGTCTGTCGGGAAAGGGACCTAGGAACTATTGGCGCACTTCCTACCGCTCAAAAATACCTGTGTGAAGAAGCGGCGGCTCCTCCAGGCTCGCACAGTAGCGATCAGGACCCTGGATAGACCCCGGCCCCAAACAGGGACGCAAAGGCTGAGTGGCAGGGTCTCCGCACAGAACGGGGCGGGGCATTACCGTCGCACTTGTGAGCTAAGGCTAAGATCTGGTTAAGTCCGATCTAGAAGAGGTACTACTCTTCCTCAAGGGTTTACCTTGCGTTGATCCAAGCCCTTGCCCCCTCAGGACAGCTCAAAGCAGCAACAAGGCCAATGGGACTGCGATGAGGGGGCACGCGCCTGCCGGTCCCTGCCATTCTTCCATGCTAATGATCGCTTCCCCCAGAACAGAAAACTAGGGCTCTAAATTGCTCTCCTTCTTGGACCAACTTTGAAGTCTAAATTTCTTGCCCTTTCTCCCAAACATTTATGTCCAGGGATTCTGAAGCACTTTGAATTTGGGAATGCCCTGATTTTCTGAAAAAGTGACTGTCACCAGGAACTGAGTTCTAAGTTCCCCAGCGCAGAGGCAATTGATGAAATTTCCAGACAAAACACAAGTTAAATAAATACACGCTTAAACTGGGAATTTTAAGCTCAAATCCGCAAACAACTGAGACCTGGATCTCTCCACATAAATATATACTTATTTATGCTATTTAGTATATATGTATAAAATTTCTGCCATTATATACCAGCTTCTCACCTACTTTATAAATGTATCCGAAAAGCAAACAAGGTTAATAACGTCTTCTCCAAGATAATTCAATGATAAATTGTATATCTGGCACATTTTCACTACTCAAACAAGAGAGTTAATTTCAGGAAAGCCTACAAGTGTGGGCTTTTGGTCAGACTAGGGGGGTGGGTGGTGAAAGGCGGCTTTCCTTAGGTTATAGAATATAGTAGCCTTAAAAGGCACTCTGGGAAGAATGAATATTGACTCGGAGGAAAAGTCTTAAAACAGTCTTAAAACAAAAAGTTTAGAACCTTAAATAGAATTTCAAAGTTAGATTTGCATCCTAACTGAAAATCCACTAGAAAATTTGTGGATTTAAAATGACTTGTAACCATTTGTTAATTACCTAAACAATCTACTACCTTGGTAAATGAAAAGCCAGTTCGTGTCTAGCTGTGTGAATTTATTTTAAAACAAATAGTTGTAAAATTAAATTTATAATTTCAATATAATGTAGGAAAGACAAAGGGAAAACGAAATATATTAATATGCAGCAAAATATCCGTGTCAATGAAAAAAATCATCAAAAAAATTCCCTTTCTCCTCAAAGTTTGCTTACACTTAAAAATCGAATGTCTCTAGATTTCTTGTGCTCTTTTATTAACACTACACACACATTTTGAAAGAATAGAGATTGCTTAAAGACTATCTCTGTCTTTAACAAATTCTTACTAACAAAAAATTGTTCACAAGTGAAACAGACATTAGGCAGAACAAGAAAGAAAAAAGCCTCAATTTTCCTCCGCCTGAACTACAGGCGATTCTGAAATAATCTAACTCAGTTTTGGTTTTTAAAAGTAAAAATCAACACATATTTATAAAATAAACTTGGAGAGAGGGAATCTACCTCTGGGTAACAGACTCTTTTGATTATGGAGTTCCAACAGAAACAATACGCTGATTAATATTTCACAAAATCACAGATTTCAAAAATAAAAGAGAACATTAGAACTTACGTTTTCAAGTACTACTTAGGTTAAATGCCTGTCTTAAACCAGACAATTATCTTCAATACCCAAATCATTAAAACTAACTAGAATGCTGTACTGCAAGTGTTCAAAGTGGAGCAATTACCTTAAGGGAAACTCTCAAGTAAATCTTAACATTTAACAACAACAACAACACAAACAGTAATAATATTTCACCAATCATTTTTAAAAAGCATACCCCCTTTCTATATCTCACCTAATCTTTAAAATTATGCCTCTTCAATACTATTTTAATGTTTAGTGTTAAAGATATGAATTAAAAATTTAAAATCTGAAGAGAACAATCCATATGATACAATCCTCGCATTTCACAAAATGTTTTCCTTTTAAGCAGTTGCAGAAGAGTTAAATAAACGTAGCACACATTCTCAATTCGATAAAACACTCAGAGAACCCGACATTTTATGTACCCAAAAGGTCCAAACAGAACTGATGCAAATGTCAATAGCTCTCTCTCTTCCGGCTGATACTTAAATGGTTTTACTAGTACCCAAAGGAATGAAATCAGCAACTCTCTCCACACTCTAGTCAACACTCCAATTTTCAAAGCCTCAATTCGCAAACGCCAGTTTGGAAGGGGAGCAGTGGGGGTCTTGAAGGAATAAAAAAAATTCCTTTTCTCCTCTGACAGTCTACCAAAAGATGTCAAACCAAATTCAGCCTATAGTAAAGCACTGGGACCTCTCTTCCAAGGACACGGGACACAAGCATAGACACCGCTGCAAAAGGCTGTCCAAAAGCGCCTGACCCGAGAGAAACGTAAGGGGCCCAGATAAGAACGAATTAGAACCCTCAAAAGGGCCCCGCAGACAGCGGAAATGAAGGTGGCGTTTACAGGGGTAGACAGCAACGAACCAAAGAAAGTTGCCCCAGCCGGACGCTTGGGCCTTTCTTTATCCAAGTTTAAGCTCAAGGCAGATATATTTGTGGGGGTCCTTTCCCCTACAGACATCTCAGCCGCCTCCGGGACCCACTGTCACTCAAGGGGAAGACCCTCCAGCTTCACACCCGTTCCTTTCGCCCCCGGACAAAGGCAGAAGAGGCTGTCGAGCTGACCTAGCTGTGTGGGGCAGCAAGATGCCTAGTTCGGGCAACCCATCCTTTGGCCTGGCTTCATCTGCGATGTCAGCACCAATGTATTTTTTATTTTTACAACGCGCCCTGGGCGGGTGTATGCACCGCGGGGGGATTTGAACAGAGGAGAGGAGGGGTTGGTAGTGGAACCCAGAACCCTCCTTGCTCTCCCCTTCTGCCAGGGCTGCTGTGCAGGGAGTGTCGGCCACGTCTGGCGCACTGTCCCAGGCCCCGGACGAAGGCGGCCAGGGGAAATGGGGCTTTGGAATTGCTAAACCAACGGCACCATTTCATTGGTGGTCTCCAGCGCCTGCGAAGGTAAGATTGTCTTTTTTTTTTTTTTTTCTTAAGGGGCGTGTGATTTTGTTCTTTTCTGGAGGTGGGAGTTCGTTTATTCGTTCGTGCGCTACAGGGTGGGGGGGCGTTGCTGCACTGCCAGAGTCCCCGGAGGGAGGGTGCGGGGATGTCTAGAAAGGTACCGTAATTATTCCTGGGGCGTAAGAGGCCAATTAGAGGGGACGGGGTGGGCAGCGCCACGAGCTGTGGCAGTGGCAGCAGGGAAGATCGCGAGGGGCTTACCCGGGCGGGCGGGCGCTGTCCTGCCGCAGGTGAGGGAGGGCGCGGGCTGGAAGAAGGGAGGGCGCGCGCTAGGCAGGCGCGAGGGAGGGGGGAGGGGAGGAGGGCGCGCGCGCGCACACCTGTCCTGGACAGCCGCGCGAGCCTGGCTGCGCCTCACTCAGGCTCTGCCGGCTGAGGAGGGAGGAGGGCGGGCTGGCAGGCGGGGGCGGGACGCCGAGGGGAGGAGGAGGAGGCGGCTCGGACGGCTGGCTCGGCTCTCGCTCGTTCTCCCTCCCGCGGGCAAGCCCGGCTCACACCCTGCTTCTCCCGCTCACTCACAGCCCCCTTGGCTCTCCCTCCTCCTCCTCCTTCCCCTGCGGGATCCGCTTGCCGCCGCCGCCGCCGCCGACGGCAAGTCGTGGCAGCCAGACGTCGGCGCGTAACCCGGCGCTCCGTGCGTGACTCCGGGCGACGTCAGCGCGCGCTCCGCGCTACCCACCATCTCTCCCCCATCCTCCCCCCGTGGCTCGCGCCCTCCGCCCTCGCGTTCCTCCGTTTCAGTTGCCGCGGCGGCGGCCGCCGAGCGCGCTCCCTCCGCCCCCGTCTCGCGCGTGCGCGCGCCCTCCACCGTTGGCGCGTCAACAGCCGGCGGCCCAGGCCTTGAGGCGCGTCTGAGGAGAGAGCTGCCTGTGGCCTCTTTGCCCGCACTTCCTCCACCCACCGCCCGTAGCGCCCCCAGGAGGACTTATTCCTCTTTGGGCTGTGAAGGCCGAAGGCAGGCTCAGGCGGGGACAGAACCCAGTGGGGCCTGCGTCAGCTCCAACTTAGGCTCAGCGTCGCTGTCGGTGCCGCTACCACCCCGTCACCCTCCTCCCCGCCCTCGTCTCTCAGGAGGCAATAGGTCTTTCATCTCCCGGGAGGGTCTCACCTTGGCCTTCAGATGCCTGCCGAGAGGGGCTGGAAGGGCAGAATTAGCATAAAGAAGAAAGAGGCTAGACCACGTTTGGGTTCTAGCCCCAGGAATCCTTGACAGGAAGCGTGGGGCTGCTGCCCAGCCTCCCACGCAGTGTAGGTGAAACTGGGCCCCTTTGAGGGACTGTGACTAAGGACAAAATCCTGATAAATATTGTTTATGCGTCCTTGGGCCGAGAGGGAGAGAGTAAAAGGGACGAGTTAATTTTCATAAATTGCTATGCAAGGGCGAAATGCAGAACTATAAAATGTCCTTTAAGAGTTTTCTTGAAATCTTACCAAGTTTGACAAGATTTTTGGTGCGCGGTAACTTTTTTCCTCTCTTTGCTCTCACATCTCCATCCTGCAACACTGCGTGCGTAGATGGATCAGTTAAAAGTTATCAGCTGCAAAATAAATAGCAAACTGCCTTCACTATCTTTATCATTATTTAAATAGATCTCAGAGAAGTCAATCTGTAATTTGGGAAAACCTAGTCAACGTCCTAATTTATTTAACTGAATGTATTTTATTTTGAAGTTACTTTGCAGTACATTGTAAGATACTCTTTTGTTAGACAATAGTAGACTTTTAAACTCACTTATTTTGGACCTTATCCAAGAAGCTCATCTAGTTAAGCCTGCGAAGCAAGGAGGAGCGAGGTGAAATTAACCCCATTTTATAGACGAGAAAATTGAGGTATAAAAGTATGTCAGTTGTTCAGAGTTGCAGGGAGTCTGTCACCAATAGAGGGAAACACCCTAGGTATATTATCACCTACTTTTTCCACTAAACCAGAAATCCCTCAATTGTTTACTTCCAGATATCTTTTGATGCCCTCCCCCCTTATGTAGTGTAGGCAGTGCCTAATGTCTGAGAGAAATAAGTTTGAGAGATATTCCTGGAGACCCAAATCACAGAGGACTCTAAAAGGTTTGAGTTTGAAATTTTGTACCATAGAAAATTACCGCTCAGCAGTAAGTTATTGTGAAACAATTCAACTTCCATACCAACAACAACAGCAAAATGCTTTATTAATCTCTAGTTAGAGGTGAGAAAATTTTTGAGACAGACTTGAGAATGATGGGTCACTTCCTTTGAATTGCTTCTTTATTCACCTCATCCTTAGGTGGCAGCACTACTATATAAATAACTTTAAAACTACAGTCTTCTGCCACTTGATATCCTAAAGAGTGTTTTGTCCTACATGCTTCCAACTATATTGTGGAGATTAGAAGCTGGTGAAAATATGAAATCATGGCTGAGAATTAGAATACTTAGGAGGTCCTAGAGGAGGAAAAACAGAAAGGCTTTCAGGGAAATTAATAAAATACGTGGAGCTACTGAGAGAAAAGATTAGAAAGCTTGAAAACAAGCTTAATTTTTGTTAGCTGTATGAGGAGCAAGTAGCATCTTTACTCTAAACCTGGTCTCTTATTGAAATATAGCACGAGATAACTGTCCAAAGCAAGCCATAGTTTCTCAATACTGCATATTTAACAAGAATTTACAAGTTTAAAGTTGCTAGTTCTATTAGAAAATATAATAGCTGTAGTTGCCAGTATTCTAACTACAAGTTTAAAATTCAGGTGCAGTTTTCCTCATTAAACCGCGTCAAGCTTATAAAGATCCCCAAAAGAACCTTATTGTTGACCCTTGTGGAAGAGAAGAACTCTTCTTGGCTCCTTTCCTCACTCCCTAAGTTGTTCATATACAAAGTAAACCACCATCACTCAAACTCAGAGAAGTGAGAAGACAAGGTAAACCAAATGTCGAATGATAGCAATTTACGGATATTCTATATCTTAATTTCTCCCATATTTTTTGAGGGTAATAAATTGTGATATATGGGGGTTATTTGGATCAGGTGTTTTCTAAGTAGAACTTTGTCATAATTAATTTTGTATGTTTACAGTAGTTCTCCCTGTACCCCTTTATCCAAGCAACCAAACAAAATTGAATTTACATTTCAAAATAGACTGCATTAGATTTACAGTATAAACACAACCACCAAGGAATATAGAGCTATGACCACCAGGAGTGGGAAATCAAATTATTTCTGGGTAGACGATGAAGTGTTAATAAAGTCTTTCTTGATGGCAGCTTCCATCTTTCTCAAGTCAAACTTGGGGAAGTAGTTTCAAGCAAATTGGTAGAACTCAAACTCAGCAGTGTTATGTTAAGATTTTTAAGCTTTCTGGTGCCAGCAAATCATGCAGCTGGGGGGCCTTTGCACCAAACTTCTGCCAACTCCATTTTGGCAGTAAAGTGTTCTGTTGAACAAAGTTTGCACGTGTTTAGGGTGTGAAGTGGTTCCTCAGGCTTTTATCTGGATTTATTCCAGTTTAGGGACTTGAAGACAAGGGTCAGAAGCATGAGACTTGTATGGTTCATATGTGCCCTGAAACAGACTAGCTAGTGACCTTGAACCTTCACTTAAACAAGGACAGCTTTTTCTTTGTTGTTGTAGGAGTTATTGAAGTGGACCCTTTAGTTTATTCCTTACATGCTAACATGATATTGAACCAGTTCTCAGAAGCATGTAAGCAGGACCCTCTCTGTTGAGGGTACAGTGCTGTGGAAAATCAGTCCTCCTCCTCCTACTCACAATACCATCAAAATGTGTTTATCCAGATGAAACTCACTAATTAATAATGTGCAACTTGAGAGCACAGGGGCTAGTAATTATTTAAACTTGATCTCATTGTCAAATATAACTATGAGACTCTCTCTTTTTTGGTATCAATTGTCTGGCTTCATCTTTTTTACCTACCTCCTTCTATCCTGGAGTCATTGGTTAACAACATTTGGCCCTGATGTGGGTGCTAATTTATCTTATTTCAGGGGTCTCTGTTCCTGTGGGAAACATATGCAAACAGTCTCAATTTCTATTACTTTTTCAAGTAATTCTAGCAGAAAATCCTTGCATAATCTGGGGTAGCAGTTGGAAAGCCATTAATGAGCTGTCGGAGCATGCTTTGGTGGTTTTTTTTTCTTCCTTGCGTAAGAATAATGGACAGAAAAAAGTGCAAAAAGTAAAAGTAACAGATGTTGAAATGATACTATTATCTTACCTTTAACTGTGATCAATAGAATGTCAATTTGTCGGATACAAGTATGGCAATTTGAAAATGGTAGTTACTGATTCTTTTCCCAAGAATGTGGCCTAAATTCTTATTTGTTTCTTTCCCTTTTCTTCTGTTCTCTTTAAAAGTAATTCCCAAGTCAGAACTAACATGTGGATGAGGTTAGAGATGGAGAGGAAAGCTGAGCCTTTCCGAAGAGTGCCTCTGTCTGGACTGAAGATACGGTTGAACTTTGTTGCACATTTTATGGTGACCCCAAAACTCCTTTCTTACCCTAGAATATCAATGTGTTGCTATTTTACTACCTGGGACAAGACTAAATATATACCTATCTAAGTAGGTATGTACATACAACAAGATACCACTGCCATCTGAAACTAATTTAGGCCATTTTTACAACCAAATGCAGTAGCACTTTGCAATTAGATGAAGATCAGTTGGGTTTCTTTCTATGGTGACTAAAATGTGTCAGGGGAAAAATCAAGATAATATTCCATGGGAAAAATACAAAATAAGTTCTTTAATATTTTGTGTTATAGTATTTTTATCTTTTAAGTATACTTTTCCTTCTTGTCTATCAGGACTTGTTCTTGGAACCCACTGTTTTTTACTAATCAGCCTTATTTTCTTGAGTCATTTATTGAACCACATCTATCAAATGCTTATTTGCCAGACATTGCTCTAGGTGTTCAAACAACACAAAGTCCCTGCTCTGATAGAGTTTCCAGTCTAGTAAGACAGATAATAAACAAATATATAATATGATGCTAGATAATGATAAGTGCAAAATAGAAAAAGAAAGCAGGGAAGGGGAAAGAGTTTTCTGTGTGATTGTGTGAATGTGTGTGCAGGCCAGCCACCTGGTATTTTAAATAGAGTGATCAAGGAAGCCTGCCTGAAGAGGTAACGTTTGAGGAGAGACCTGAAATAGCCAGTCATGGGAATATCTGGGGAGATATTCCAGGCGTTGT